AGGAGGGTCCCACATGGTGCGCAGACCTCTCCTGCCACCCGCTGCTCCCCTCAGCAGTGTACTTCCGTCCTTCTGCCTGCTCTGCTCCCCGCCCTGGCTCTGGTGAATTCTCTCACCCTCCTGCGCTTTTGACTGTACCCAGTGCTTGTATAAATAAATAAATAAATAAATCTTTAAAAAAAAAAAAAAAAAAAAAAAAGATAAAACTGAGTAAGGGTAGATCAGATTTAGAACCTGAATGTAAGACTACAGAGTTTAGACTTGATTTTGAAAATTTATTAGGAATTATTGAAGTATTTTAAAGGGCAATATATCTTCCTCAGGCAATATGTCAAGGAAAAATTTTGATAATTATCTAAAGATGTTTAAGAGCACAATGTAAAATATAACTGCTTTATAACTTGTTACAGATTTTACAACATAAATCTTAATTTTCAAAGTATCACATACTTCCCTACTTTTCAGAACAAATGAGTGAATATAGTCTCCTTAATAAAAAATACCTAAGCTCAACAGATTCATCAAAATGTAAAAATTGGTCTATGTTCAAATATACTGGTATCTTTCAGGGATTAATCAGGTTGTTATTACATACATGATATGTGCTTTCTTTTCTAACAAGTCTAAGTAAAACAGCTGGACATCTAATTGATTCTGAATAAGCCACACAGGAAGCAAATTCCTTGACCATGTTTACTAGTAAGAGTGGCAAAACAAAAGCCTAAATATTGTTATCCAGGCAATGTGTTGATTCAAAGATACTTTTAGATATTGTTCAAAAGATCACAGACTTTGATCAATTTTACCAAATTTATTCTTAAGCAGTATTTGTTAAATAGAATAGAAAAGAGCAAGCTAGTAGGATTTCATTGGTGGAGATAAAACATGAAGGATAAATATTTCCAACGCCATTGTTCATTATAATAAAAAGGCATTTGTATAAAGGTGGTAGAGTATATAAGAAAAAAAGCAATGAAGGGGCAAATGAAGGGACTCTAGTTGTCTATATTAGAAGTGATAGCATTGGACTACATGATATAAGGTCCTTTTAATTCTAAAATTTTGATTATTGCACGTTTAGAAAAGAGTACAAAAAATAATGAGAAATAACAGGTAATGGGTCTTAAAAGTAGACATAGAATCCAATAATACAATTCATTACTTTAGAAGAGGTATACTTACAATATATTTCTCTAAGTGAATCAACTTATTATTGTGCAGTACATTAACAATCACAATGAGGATGCTGAGACATCAAAAAAGTTAAATAATGTTCCCAATTTCTTGTTTATAAAATTAGAGGAATGGGAATATCAGGACTTATGTTGAGAGGGGTAAAAACATTACATCACCTAATAAGGGTAACTAGTAACTAATTTTTGCAATACAGTATGTAGAACAGCTAATTTCTCTGCAAGGTTTAATAAAGAGGTGTTAAAATCTCTCCTACAATTTTAAGATAACATAAGTAAAGCTGGACAGGCAAATCCTTAACTTATAATGTATCTGCTCACCTTGGATAAAACATAAGCTAACCAGCTAAATATTCATGTCTAATTCCAAGCAAATACAACAGGAAATTTTAATGCATTGATTGTATGTAGTAAGACTGTCTTCAAAAGCAAACAGCTCACGTTATGTACTTCATGTTATTCTAAACACGCCAATGAATTCAATGAATAAAGTGCACATTCTTTAGTATGGCCTGTGGGTTCTACATCTGGCCCCTATAAACCTTTCTGACCCATCCTTCAAATGTTATCTTTCTCATCATTTATTTTGCTTGACTCACATTGTCCTGCTTAGTGTTTGTAAAACACTTCAACTTGTTCTGGCTTCATGGCCTTTGTACTTTCTCTACTCTTTGCCAAAAGGCTCCATCTTTAGATATCTGCAACTCTTAATCCCTAACTTCATCATTCAGGTCTGTTCAAATGTCACCTTCCACAGGCTTTCCCTAAAGACTATATTCAAAATAGTGTCACTCTGGCCTTGCCTCTCTAATCCCTTATCTGCTTTATTTTTCTTTCTAGTGTCTAGATTAATTGGAATATATATAATTTGGATACATATTTATTGCTTGTTTCCCTTCTAGAATGTTCACATGTTAAAGTATCCACTTCATCTGATACCCCAAAACCTAGAGTAGGGCTTGCATCAAATATTTACTACTAAATACAAACTTGGGATAAATGATGAATGAACTCCTACAGATTTCAAGATAAATATGCAAAAAAACCCCAAACAAGTGCAGAATAATGGAATTGGCATGCATCTATTTGTAGTCTTCAAAGTTAAATATGTATCTGTATATGCATGTTTTCTTTCAGGAAGAGAACACAAGAAATGGTTAACATAATTGCTCCTTGGGAGGGAAGTGTGAAAGGCTGATTTCCAGCAGGCAGGCTTATTTTCTACTTCATATCCTGCTTGGATTTTAAAGTCTAAGTATTTTTACTTCAAAGTCAAAACAAAACAAAACTATTAAAATTTACCTTAAACCCCTTTCATTTAATAATAACATCTATTTTTATGAGAAATTTTCTATTGTGCCCCTAGTTTACAAATATAAATGTGCTAAGCAATTTACATACTTCTCATTTAATTTCCACAACAACCCTATGTTCATCATTCCTATGTTATAGAGGGAGAAACTACAGTACAGAAAGATTAAGTTAACTAATCTTAACTAGTTAAAGTCATACTATTAGAAGCATAAGATATTGGATTTGAACTCAAATTGACTGAATCTAAATTTCATTTAATCATTATTCTCCCTGATATAAAAATATAACCCTTGAAAATTTTTGTTGTGGAGTTAAAAATATATAGTTGCTTACTTTTGATAGAAACCCCAGGGCCTAGTATAAGAGGTCTTATAAGAATGTTGAAATAAAAATAAAATAAAATGATTTCTTGGTGCTTGTCAGGTATCAAATAGTATCCATTCTTAGCAATAACACTACTAAGAACTCTTGCATTGGGTGTATAAGACAACTAGGAACAATCAACAATGATCATTTATGTATATTTTATATGCCAGCTATTATGATAAACATTTGACAATTATCTCATTCAATTCTTAAAATAAATAAGGTAGTTTCTTTTATTGTCACCATTTAATAGAATGAGAGTTGTGATTTACAATGTAATTCTTCCAAGATGACATAGTATGTGAGCAGTCAAAATGTGAACCCATGTCCAGATCCAAAGTCCATGTTCGTAACAACTATGCTATTGGAATCAGAATACTTCTGAACAATGTTATAGAAATATTGCACAAATTATCTTGATTATAGGCTGATATAATTACAAATTGTATCTTGAATACATACTCAAATCTGAGATTCAGATTCAACAAACATTTTTTTAGGAGTAGGAATTATCCTCCACACTATCCGTTTGTAGTCTTATGCAAAGTTCTTTGAAAATAACCTTAGTGTTATAGCCATTGCGTCTACTAATTGAGAAGCATCAGGAAAGAATGAAAATTTCAAATGGAGGAAAGGGTGGCACTGACATCTGGGCTACTTTTTCCTCCGAGTTTTCAAAGAGTTGACAGTATAAAATTTTATTGTGTCCCTTAATTGAGTCAGGATATATTTATAGTAGGACAACACGTGCTTTTAAAATGAAACACGTAAAATACTTGGTTCAGCAACAGAAAAGATTAATTACATCATTAAAGGCAACTAATCTTTGTTCATCGAAACGGACAATTCTTACAAAATAACATAATAACAAGCACTACTCAGTCTTTGGATCTATTGTCAACAAAGCTCATAAATACTTCTCAGAATCCAAGACCTGGGGTTGAATGAGGTGGAGTAACATCACCAATTAAAATCTTTGGATGCTTAACATATTCGACCCAATTGCTAATAGTTAATAACCCAAAGCATGTATTATATACAACACAATTCTGGTCAAACACTAAACAGCAGTCTTCCTTGACCTCTCAGCAACAAAAGCGCCTAATAAACTTCTAAAGGATCTTAAAAAAACTACTAACACACTATTGGACAGACTGTCTGTGTTTCAAATCCCTGTCACTTGCAGAGCACTTTGCTACGCAGTACCTCTTCCATACCTTCTCTGATCCTTGCCAACCCCGTCAGGCAGCGCTGGCAGGTCTTATCTCGATGCCAAAACTTGGGGCTCAGGGCAGGATCCAGACTGACCTGTGCGAGGTAAACAGAACCTTCTCAGACAAATATCTGTGAGTTGGTGAATCAAGGGTCCCAGGCGGTCAGCGCAAGTGCTGTGTCCACGTCTGGGAAAGAGGCCAGGAAACCCTTTAAAACTTCCTACTTCCTCAGAATTTAAGGCAGGCGATCCCAGCCCTTCCGGCCGAGTCCTGAGGGCTCCAGCCCTCTCGGGAACTTTCTAAACTTTCTCCCTCAACAGTAGCCCCTCCCCTCCCCCACGCCCCAACGCCTGTTGTGAGCATCCCTCCCGTTCCTCCCCACCTGGGGCGGCGGGATCGATCCCTTCGCTCCCAGATGAGACAGGCCATCAAAAGAAGTGTCTCCGAGACCATTTTTTTCTGGCGTGCCGACTCGCACTCACCTCAGGGCCAGGAGACTTTACAACGACACTTCTCTTCCATATCCGCCTCCCGGCGATTCAAACTCTGCCACTAAATTCAAAACTAAGCCAGTTTCCGCAACGCCTCGTTTCATTGGCTACCGTTTTCGTGACGTCATCACGTAGTACGTTGTCGAGGCGCGCTGCCGCTGGGCGCGGAGATACTTCGCAGCACCGAGCAATGAGTCCGCCAGACTCTGCGTGGCCATGGCAACGCTCACGGCGGTTTCCGGAGGCGGTGGCCTAGGTGGGCGGGGCCAGGCTGCAGCTGCAGGTGGGAGGCAGCCACCTGGGATCATCAGGCCGCCTCCAGAGCTGCGGGCGCGGTCTCAGTCCCGGGGTTCTGGGTGTGAGTGAGATGGGTGTGGGATGGGGTTGGCGAGTGCCCTTCGCTGGGGGTGGGGTTGCGGGGGTGAGGCGGAGCCTCTTGGATTGGAATAATGGATTCTGGGTGTTTATTTTCTTTTTGTATCTGTTGAGGAGTAGTGAGGCCTCCAAGGCATAGGTCTGGTTTTTGTTTTGCAATTAATTATAAATCCAAGGCTTTTGATTTGAGGCTTCATACTTCATTTTTTAGGACTTCCAGGCCTACATCCTTAGTGCTCACTCAAACTGGTGTTGGGCTATTTTTGAAGTTTTTTTCTAATTAAAAAAATAAATTCATTTAAATTTATTGACCTCGTTCATTGTTGGATGCAATGGTTTTTAAAGTCGTAGTTGTAAATATTATGTAGAATGTGCAATTTAAAAAGCAAAAAAAACCTGAAAAAAAGAGAAATATGTTTGTTAAGGTAAATCATCTTTATTTTTCAACATATTTTTGGTAGTATAATCTGAATATTTTGGTTATTGTGGTTCTTTATATTTCGTTAATTGTATTCATTCAGCAATTATTGATTATAGATTTAATGACATAGTAGTATAGAATTGAATCAAAATCCCTGCCCTCTTAGAGATTATAGTCTGGTGATTCAATACCACTATATAAATAGAATGGCATAACACCAGACAGGATATTAAAAGTGCAATAATGTATAGAAAACCCTGCATTGTGGATATTTCTTTCCTATTCCTGAGCATTAGAAGCAGTGATATTGTGTATGCTTGTTTCTGAATATTGGAAAGACTATAGATAAAGATACTAATTACTGTCATACATATAGCTTAACTAATCCAATAGCTATTTGCATGGTTCTGACTTTGATAATAAAATGAGAAACCCTTTCTACTTTATTTCAAATTTGCATTCACTCTATCCCAATTTGCCTTCGATGACCCAGGTATATTAACTTTTTATAGAAGTTCTCATTTAATTCTCAAAATTGCATGAATCTTAATTACTATTTATTTTCTAAGGAGAAAACAAGTTTAAAATAAAATCTGTAGAGAAAAATACTTCTCTTGAAGTTACAAACCAGCTAATTTAGAATTTTGTTGTTTGTCTATGGAATACTTTCTAGATTAAGTAATATTAAGATGCTATCTTAATCGAATCTGAAAGTATTCATGTCTTACCATTTTTTTAAAATAGCATTGATCATTGTTGAATTAGTAGAAGCATTTTAAATTTTGTTTTTCTCACGTTGTATTAGGGTTACTAGTCTCACAGGTGTTTCCATACCTAACCTAAGTACTTATTTTAGATTTAACTTTAAATTCTTCTTTACACCTGCCATTTCTGCTTTACACCTGTGTGCTGATTATGTGTGTGTTTACGGAAATGTATATTTACTAAAAGAGAAATTTTAATATTTAAAATCAATGTCATTATTGTACCAGTGGCTTCTCTTTAGTTTGGCATGACATTAAGGAATATAATTAGAAAGGGTAAGAGAATGGTGTATTCTGAAACGAATTTTAGGGAAAAAACCCAAAACTTTCTAAACGTTTATAGCTTAGAAGACAGAGATTTCCCCTTGGGAACTGAACTATAACTGCTGTGTTGTTAAGACACAGAAGTTTAAGCTATGTTTATAGCAAACTGAAAAACGTAGCGGTAAAGATAACATGAAAAGTTAAATTTAAAGTTGTGTGAGGCATTATAAAAGTAAAAGTGAATTTAAACCTGGCAACTGTAGGGCATTATTTATTTTCCCATTCTCCCAAGGAACATCATTTGAAAACCCCACAGCCTGCAAGGCCCTGTGGCAACTAGGGGCTGCAAGCAGCGGAACCAAAGGCAGACAGTCCTCGGTTGTGGGGCGGACCTGGGCCGGATCTGTCCGTCCTGGCAACTTTCCCCCAGGTCTGGGACCTACACGTGCGGCAAAGTCAGGTTTTCCCGCACCACAGTGGTTGTCGCTGGCGGAAGTTAGAGGCAACTTGAGATATCTTCATGCCTCAGGTGAGGAAAAGGTGGCTGAATGCCGGGAGCGCTGGTGGAGCCCACCCCACGGTTTTAAGAGAACTATTAGGGGTAGGCGGATGCGCCCCGGAAAAGAAAACATGGGTCCCTGTTCTAGCGTCCTTTGCGCACCTCCTGGTTACAGAGGTTTCTCTCTCTACAGTATAGTTCTTGGGCAAAAAATTGCATTAGTCCCTTTCCTTAGAACTTGTTTCGCTTTCGCTGCATTCGAGTGCCAGCCTTCAGGATGGGTTTTAGATTTAGGAATTTTGTTTTCAAATGGATTTAGGGAAAACTGGTTGAAGTGATACTTATTAGCAATGTCAAGAAAGTACTTTCCAAGCTATCACTCACCTCTGTATTCCCACAATTAAAAGAGTAAACTGGCCAATTACTTGGTCTCAAAATCTCATACTAAACTTTGCTAGCAGAGAAAAATTAAAAGATCTATTTAGGAAACCACACAGACTCTTTTGGAGGCCAGGTTTACAGGCTTCTGTTTCCTTCCTGTGTCCAGCACGAACTTAACCTGCCTGGTCCTTAGATGATTGCAGGAGGGCACAGGTTGGTCTGGTAAGAATTGGGCAGAGGTGAGGGAAACTTCATAAAACAACCACAGAGAAAAGTTAATTATCATGGCTCTTTTCCACACTGACCCAAGTTAGTAGCCAGTTCATGCTTGATAAAATCTTCAGCCTTCATACCTTGAACACAGTTGAGTAAATGAATAGAAATTCAATGTAGAGGAAAAGAAATGCTGGTGAAAAAAAATTTTTTTTTTCATTTTGTCTGTTTTTGTCTGTATGATTTTGACCTGTATTTTGGAATTGATGGATTGAAATTTTTTTTTATGTCAAGCAATTCGCGTATACAGTGTAGGTTGTTTAAATCCTCCCGATCCCATTATTTAGGCCTCTATGTCCTCTCTTGGGTATCCTAAGGGATATTGTATTTTCGGGTGGAGCAGGACCAAGCAATAGATGTTGACTTCTTGAAGAAATAGAATCCAAGTCATACTACAAATATACAGTCAATGTAATTAAAGTAATATTCAATCACGTGAGTGCATTACATAGGTCCAGTGGGTTATGTTAATAGGATAGAGATTAAGATTTCAAGCTCTGGGGATAAACTGAGTTGTAGCTCTAGTTTATGGCTTTCTATTTACGTGAACTTTGAGCAAATTACTTCTCTGTTATCTTCATCTATAAAATAGGAATAATAATAATAGTGCCTATTTTTCAGTTATGTTAAGAGTTGAATGAGTTTGTACATGGTATGTGCTTAGAATAGTAAATGATACTTAGTGATTGTAAATGTTAGCTCTTTTGAAAAATATTAGAAACATTAAATTAGGGAATACTGGGCTTATTTGTATAAGCTTCCTGGAAAACATAAGGCATATTTAATATTTTGGATAGTTTGTCATTGCTGAGTATCCAAAAAGTTACTTACAACATTTATATCCAATATCCTTTTTTTATTTTGTCATATATTTCCTGTGTTATATTTGATGATGATTCTGTGGATTGTCTTTAGTAAAGTTGATGTATTAGGTATCTTCAAGGTAACATGTTGACGTTATATAATATCAAATATATATATACATAAATATTTTTATATTTCTTTCTTTTCTGGTTATGTGACCAGCTATTCAGTGTTACCATTAATTTCTTATTGCAAAATGAAAGGAAGGTGTATTTAAGTAGGATTTATGTTTTTTGAAGTATTTTTGAAAAAATGGTTTTTGCTGTGTTCAGGTAAAATTTTTTTTAAAAAAAGATTTATTATGTATACAAGAACTGGGGTGTAAGCCAGAGGTACAGGGGTTGAGAGGATTCACTGGAGAGAGTGGGGAGCAGTACAGACAGATCTACTGAAATAAACTGCTGAGGGGAGCAGTGGGCGAGTCAGGAGAGGTCTGCTGTGCCATGTGGGTAGCTCCCTGGCTGGCCAGGGATCCAACATGTGCTGCAGTGGCTGACTATAGCCTGATAGCGCTGTCTTTCACCCCTGTGCCACCAGGGAGGCCCCAGGTGGAATTTTTTTTTTAAATTTTTTAATTTAAATATTTTATTTTATATAATTCTTACATCTTTTTTCATCTTTGCACAATGTATGCATTTTCATTTTGGTTATATTCCCCATACAATTGTACCTCCCCCTTTATTTCCAGGTGGAATTTTCTAAAGCAAGGTTTGATAGACATGTTTATGCAATTCAGAATTTATTTGACCATTATTTTTTTCAAGAAAACACTAAGCACCTAGTGTGCTTCTGATTTTGTGGATTAAAAAGGTATGGGTCCCAATCTTAAATTATAATCTGAGGGAAAGCGTTAACTAGGTATCAAACACATTTCTTGAATTAATTAGGTGAAAATCATAGTATTGCTCAGTTAAGAGTTTACAAAGTTTTAGTTTAAACTGATATATCCTTCACTGATTTGGGCCATGGTGAAATGATTTTGTCAGAGACTATCCATGACAAGTCTGCAAGATTTTCACAGACTGATCTCTTCCCTTTCTTTCTATATATGCATGCATAGTCTTTTTTTCAGGGATAACCTCTCACACAGATTGAAATGAGAAGAACAAATGGTAGTGTTTGAAATAAATAACCATCTGTACTTAACATGCGATATCTGTAATCACTCAGTCATTCTGATTTTTAAGTAAACCGCTCTTTTTTTAAAAAAGATTTATTTATTTATATGTAGAAGAATTGGGGTATAGGCCAGAGGTGCCAGGGGAGAAGGGCTGAGAGGATTCACCAGAGACAGAGGGGGAAACAGAACAGGCGGATTGCCTGAAATACACTGCTGAGGGAAGCAGCAGGCGAGTCAGGAGAGGTCTGCTGTGCCATGTGGGTTGCTCTCTGGCAGGGGATCAAACTTGCGCTGCAGTGGCTGTGGATAGCTTCATAGGTTGCGTCTTAACCCCTTGCACCACCAGGGAGGCCCAAGGTAAACAGTTCTGATGCATTGAACCCATTCTTTAGATTTAATTCAGAAAGTTTATTTCAGAAAAAGATGACTAATCAATATTCACATCTCTAATGATTGATATTGATGATCCTAGAACTTACCAAGCTATGTTAAAATTTTATCTTCAGATCATTTCTGAGATTCTTGTAGGTTTTTTGCTTTGTGTATGGAAATTAGTCACTTGTACTTGTTTGAGATGACTAGTTCCACACATTTTTTCTGTATTAAATATTGCATATTAGTTTGCTTTCCCTCAAGTATCAACATTTTTTTTAATCTAATGGTAATGTTAAATTTTTTTTTTCCAGATTTGTTGATCTACAAAATGCTTCGATACCCATATTTTTGTAGAATCTATAAAAGTTTTCTTTCATACGCGTTGGAATCTGGCATATTTAATTTAGGTATTGGACCAAAAAAAGTTCATGTTACAGCAGACAGATATTATGAATATGATGCTCAGGAGAAAACAGATAAAACTGGAGCTCAGGAGTTACGCAGATTTCAAGATGGAGATTCTGAAGCTGTTACTAAATTACATATACCGGTAATGGTGGATGAAGTTGTCCATTGTTTGGCACCACAAAAAGGGCAGGTGAGTTGATTAATTTTTATAATTTTTAGCACATTTTAAATTGAAATACAATTCACTTATAATATCACAATTTTAATATGTATAATTCAGTGTTTCAAATATAATTTGAAATATAATTCAGTATATTCAAAGGTTGTGCAACCATTATCACTATCTAATTCAGGAATTTTTTTATCATCCAAATAGGAAATTTCATACCTGTTAACATTCACTTCTCATTGATCTTCTTCCCTTAATTCACCTGACAACCACTAATCTATTTATTTTTTGCCTGTTTTGATTTGTTACTTTGGGTAATTCCTATAAATGGAATCATATATGTGTCTTTTGAATCTGCCTTCTTTTATTTAACATGTTTTCAGGATTCATCCACATTGTAGTATGTAGCATTCTTCATTCACTTTTATGCCTGAATCATTCCCTCATATGAATATGCCACATTTTTATAAATTCATCAATTGATAGGTATTTATTGTCCATTTTGGGTTATTACGAATAATGTTGCTATGAACATTTATGTACAAGTTTTTGTATGTTTTTAGTTCTTTTGGTTACATTCTTAGGAGTGTAATTGAACTAGAAATGTGAAAGTGCTTTGAAATTTATATAGATATGGGCTGGTTGCTGGCTGAGGCAGCTGTGAGGGTCTTATTGGGGGCTTTTCGGTCTCAGTTTTCCAAATGGTTTTGGCCTAGACCTTTATTTGCCCAGACCTTTTATATGCCCAGGTTTTGTTTATGCTGAAAAGTGTAGGATCCAATAAAGACAGCCAAGATTCTTTTTCAGGATCCATAATTTAAGAGTTGTTTTGAACATGTTGAGAGGGTTTAAACATTTGAACTAAGAAAAGAAACTGTTTCTTGGAGACAATAAAGTCTTCCAATATTATAATTAAAGGTGATTTTGAAATAATTAAAATCTGTGGTATAGGTGTCTCTCTACTATTGGATGAAAATATAAGTGTGATTGATCCGTAAAGTCTGTAATTGACACTGAACTTTGGAAACCCATTGAAATTTTGGAGAATGGTGTTATTATTGACAAAGCAGACGTATTTGCCTTTGACTTTGGTCTGTTGTAAATGATGATTTTATGTACATGTTAATCTTCAAGATGATGATGATGAATATAAAACTTAATGAAAGTGACTTTGGCAAAGACTACTTTGCAAAATTGTCTATTAGTGCGGAAAAACTTAGCAGAAAGTAATTGGCCTCTTCTGCATGCATAAATGAAGATCCTAAAGATTGCCTGTCTCTGCTACTCACTTTGTTAAAACTTTGGAAATGGATGTCCTGTGTGCATCTTCATAGTAATGGGACCTCAGCTTCAAGTATGGCTCATTCATACACACACAGAGAGAAAAGTGTTCTGTTCTCATATTACATTTATAAGGTGCTCTGATAATCTGTAAACATAAGACATTTTGGAAGCATTTTTCAGGACTTGTTGACATATGAATGACTAATGTATTTCTTGTATGCTGAAGATTATAAGTTTTTGAGATTACAGTAGATTTTGTATAAAGTTTAGGAAACTAGCTGCTCAAGTATTTGATCTTGTTCATATAAATTTTAAAAACTTGCAATAAAATGTGTAAATTCTGTATCTAAATTTAATTTAGAGTGAACATTTTTAAATGATTTTTCTGAAATATTTTCTATTTTCATGGATATATTGAAATTAACACTTTGTGCAGAATGAAATGTCTGTGTGTGCTTATCTTTTATTTATTTATTGAGGTATCATAGCTTTACCACAATGAATATGATTCATAGATAGAAGTTCATATATAAGTAACATACTCTTAGTTGTATTACTGTACCACTCCCACCTCTAAGACTTTCAAAACCTTACTCCATAGTCCATTGAGATTCGCTGTACTCTGCCTTTTCCCTTGCCCTGTGGTTGAGAAAAGGGAAAAGTTTTATAGTCAGTTTTACAGTCAGATATCTAGGGATTACTTTTGGTTTGGTTATGTCTGATCCTTTGGTTGTTGCTCTATTCCATATGAGTGAAACCATTCAGTATTTGACCTCCTTCTCTGGCTTATTTTGCTTAGTATAACATGACCAGACTTAATCTTAGATACTTAGGTTATTTCCATTACTTAGTGAATGTAAATTTTACGGCAATGAACAAAGGAGTGCATACATCTTTTGAATTAGTGTTTTAGGATTCTTTGGGTAAATACCTAGGAGTGAAATTACCCGTTTATATCGTAGATCTTTGTTTAATGTTTTGGGAAATCTCCATAATGTTTTCCATAGGAACTGGAAACAGTGTATAAGGTTTTATTTTCTCCAGACCCTTGCCAACACTAATTGCTTCTGGTCTTTTTGATATGGGCCATCCTCATGGTTGAGAGAAAGTATTTCATTGCAGTGAATACTGGTGATAACTAATGATGAACATTTTTCCATGAGTCTGTTGGCCATCTGTATATCTTCTTTGGATAAGGGTGTACTTAGCTCTTCTGTCCATTTTTTATTTTTTTTGGATGTTGATTGTGGAGTGTTTTGCCTGTGTTCTCTGTTATGTTTTATGATCTTATATCCAAATCATTAATCCATTTTGAATTACATTTGTGGTATGAGATAGTGAGTTAATTTTATTACTTTGCAAGATGCTGTCCAGTTTTCCCAGTACCATTTGTTAAAAAGACTTTCCTTCAGTGTATGCTCTGGAATCCTTTGTCTTAGAGTAACTTTTCATGTAAATGTGGGTTTATTTCTGGTTCCTCAATTCTATTCTATGACTGTGTTTCTGTTTTTCTCTACCGCAGTGTTTTGGTTATTATAGCTTTGTAGTAGTATAGTTTGAAGTCTGGGTGTGTAATACTTTCATTCTTCAGTTTTTTGGGCAGAATTGCTTTGGCTATTCGGGGTTATTTGTGGTTCCATATAAATTCTAGTAATACTTGTTTTATTTTTTTGAGCGTGCCATAGAAACTTTGGTAGGATTGCATTGACTCTGATTTGGGTAAAATTGGTCATTTTTAAAATGTTTATTTTTCTAACCCATAAACAGGGATTATCTTTCCATTTCTTTCTTTTACTTCTTTTAACTATGTCTTATAATTTTTATTGTAAAGGTTGTTGATCTTTTTTGTTAAGTTTATTGCTAGGTATTTAATGCTTTATTTAAATAAATTGAACTGTTGTCTTGAATTTTTTTCCTCTTGCACATGGAAACTCACTTGATTTTTGTAATCTGCCACTTTACTGATTTATTGTTTCTAATAGTTTTATTATTTTAGAGTAATCATTTGTGTTTTCTATGTTTATTATCATGTTATCTGCAAATAGTGATAGTTTTACTTCTTTCCAATTTGGTTTCCTTTTATATCTTCTCCTGCCAAGTTGCTCCAGCTAAGATTTTCAATAGTGTGTTGAATAGTAGTGGTTGAAGTGGATATACTTGTCTTGTTCTGATCTAAGCATTTAATATGATGAACTGTGTGAAACTGTCATCAATGTCCTTTGTTATATTGAGGTATGCTCCCTATATCCCCATTGTGGAAGGTTTCTATCATAAATGGATGTTGAAGATTGCCAGATGTTATCTCTGCTCTGTTGATATGATCATATGATTTTTTCCTTTGTTGACATGGTAAATTAAATTGATTGATTTTTAGATATTGGACAATTCTTGTGTCCTTGGAATAAACCCCACTAGCTCACGATGTATAGTCCTTTTACTGTATCTTTGAATTTGTTTTACTAAGATTTTAATGAGGATTTTTGCATCTGTGTTCATCTGGGATATTTGTCTATAGCTTTATTTTTGTGTGTATTATCTTTGCGTTTGGTATCGAATTAATGTTGGCCTCATAAAATGTGTTTGGAAGCATTCCTTCTTCCTCAATTTTTTGGAAGAGTTTGAGAAGGATAGGGTTAGTTCCTCTGTGATGGTTTGGTAGATCTCACTAGTAAAACCATCTGTTTCTGTTTTTTTTTGTTTGTTAGACTTTTGATTACTATTTCAGTGTCACTGCTTGTGATTGATCTGTTCAGATTTTCTGCTTTTCCCTGATTCAATCTCAGAAGGTTGTGTACTTCTAAAAATTTATCCTTTGCTCTTAGTTTATTCACTTTACTGGCTATTATGCTCTGTAATCCTCAGATATTTGTTATTTCTCCTCTGTTGTTTTGGATTCTTTTTATTAGAGTTTTCTCCCATTTTTCTTTGTGAGCTTAAGTAGAGGTTTATCTACTTTATTATTTTTTTTTTCCAAAGAACTACCTTTTGGTTATATTGAATTTTGAACTGTCTTTTTGATTTCTCTTTCATTTATTTCTGCTCTAATACTACTTCCTTCCTTCTACTGGCCTTTAGGTGTGTTCTTTTTTAGTCACTTAATGTATAAGGTTATATTATTATTTGAGATCTTTATTGTTCCTGGTGTGGGCCTGTGTAGCTTTATACTTTCCTCTTAGTGTTTTTGATGTTTTCTTTTGATTTTGGTGGCTCATTTCTTCATTTTTATTTGTTTCCAAGCAATTTTTAATTTCCTCATTTACCGTATCAACCCAATGGTCGTTTAGTAGTATTTTGTTCAATTTCCACATATTATAGGTTTTCCTGCTTCATTTTGTAGTTAATTTGTAATTTGATACCATGTGATCAGAGCAGATAGTTGATATGATTTCCATCTTCATGAATTTATTGATACTTATTAATAGTTGTTAATAGTTGTCTTGTTAATAGTTTTCTTATTTCAGACTTCTTAATATTTGTCTTATTTTCATGCTTCTTGTTTGGTGCATATATTGATGAGTATTATATATTGATGAATGTTCCTGCTCTGTCAATCCCTTAGTCATTACTTAATATGCATCACTGTGTCTTATTTATTTATTTGTTTGTTTGTTTATTTATTTATTTGTTTGTTTGTTTATTTATTTATTTATTTTTTGTGGGACCCTTGCCTGCGGCCGGGGAATGAACCTGCATTGCAGAGGCTGCAGGCAGCCTTGCATGCCCAGCGCTCAACAGTT